AACAGAGGTAGGTCACTGTGGTTTTCTTTGAGGCTTTGAGGTTGACTCCCTCTCCTTACCATGTCCTCCTATGGTATTTATCTATCCTGCACCTTTTAATAGATGAAAATGGGCGAGGGAGTTGTGTGAAGTTTAGTGAAGTATATGATGTATCTTTGTTTTTCCTATTAACTCTCCTCCAACCTCAATTTGTGTCTCCTGGAAACCCACGTGCTCTGCCTTTTTCCTGTGTTTTAGCAGGGAAGACACGAGTAGCAGGCTCAGGTGTTCCTTTTATAAACATGACTATTCTCTTAAATATTTCAGGACAGCATTAAAATTTGAGGGCAGAGGTAAGCAGAGGAGGTAGTCCTTTCTACTTCTGAGCAGCTAACTGGGGATTTTCCCCACCCATTCTTTCTACGCTGGGCTAGCCCTCGTGTTAATTCCCTTTGCTTCCCCTCTTAAAAACGTATTTACCACTGCAAATTCCCCGCAGCCTAAGCCCCTGGATTAGGCCCTCTCCTCTGCCTGCCTCTTTACCGCACCCAAGACATCTTCCGTGGCTGGATGAGTTTTGTGGACAAACCCTCTTGGCCGTGCCTGGAGTCCTGCCAGCTGCATGTTTTCATCCTTGTTCCCTTTGCTGTCCTGCATCTCCATGCAGCCTGTAGCATCATGGGGTAAAACCTTTGCCTCTGGGATCACCTCAGTGAAGAGCTGCAGGCTACGGCTTCTGCTCTCCCTTTTTTATCCTTTCTCTTATTTCTTTTGTGAACTTTCTGCTTTGGATGTTAGGATTGGGAGGGACCCACAGGCTAGAATCTCTCATCAAATGTACACCCGTCTCGCCTAAGGTGACCGAAATACCCATTGGACAAGCCAATTAGCTAGGCCAAACCAAAGCAAGTTCCAAGAAGTCTTAGCATGGGCTTGAGAGAGACGGATGGGTGAGCTCTCTGGCTTGGGGGCACACACCTTTGTACTCATTTGTAGAAAAAAGTCATAGAGGTAAATCCCATGACCAATGCCACAGCTCTCTTATAATGGTGCCTTCAGTGGAAGTTCAGTATGTTTACTCTGATGGGACTTTATTTTTCTAAGTTTTTCTTAGGTTCAGTATACGAGTATAACAGACTGTTTTCCTTCTCAATCAAAACTTAGCATTTTTTAAAGTCTGCATCATTTGAGTCACAGAAATCCAAATTAAAAACAAAACAAAATGGGATTTTGGTTAAATATAGGGAGGAGGCTGTTAATTGGCTTTTTAATCTTTTGGTTATAAGCAGCTGACTCACTTAGAGAAGAGGTTTATAGTAAAGATCCACATAGATTAGAAGCAGCACACACCAGGAACTGAACTTTCTCCACGTCTCATTGGCCACCTGGGTTTTGGTGTGGCTGCCACTCTGCTCCATTCTTTTCTCTCTAAGTGGCTTGCTCTCCTTGCCTAGCCATAGTTTTTGCTTCTTCATAACTTTAGTTTGCAAGTAGCCTACCATGTACTCATTAGGTACCCTTCCTACAACTTCTGAAAATAGAGAATTCTTTCATACTTCCAGAAGAAATTCCAGAATTCAGCCCAGCAGATCTCTGGGTCAGGCCTGTCATAAGTCATCTAGTCAGTGCCCTCCCAGCACAGAAGGCAGGGTTATGCGGTCCAAATAGGGCTATGCCTTCAATTATGTCTGTGGGTGGGCAGTTTCCTCCAAAAGGAGAATTTGAAAGTATTGGCACTGCCACTGAGCCTTTCTGGCACTATACACAATATTGGATATGGAGTTAAGTTCTTCCAACTCTTAAGACATAAGCAACCAAATGCCTTACTTCGAATGGGTTAGTGTACATATGATTAGCACGTGCATGTGCGGGGAGGAGGGAAAAGTGGCATTTGCAAAGGCAGGGACCTACAAAGCCTTTTTATTATCAGCTCTGTCCCTGTATCTAGTTCTAACAGAACAGTGCTGAGAAGCTTTAGACATTCAGTTTTTTCTGAGGCAGTTAGGAACATATCCTTTCCTCAATAGACTTGTTTTTAAAGGAACATATACTTTCCTCTCCCCTCTCAAAGGACAAGGAATAGAATAAAACAAAGTCAAAGAATGGTGAGAAATGATGATTCTGGAAAGCAGTTAAATGAGTGGTAGAGGAAGCCAAATCTCTAGTGTCTCCAGAGTGTGGGAACTTGAAAGACAGATTTGCGCTGCAGAACGGGCTTAGGAAGTGGAGCCACCAGCAACAGTAGTGGGTGCTCTGTTGAAGCTGCTTATGTAGGAAAGACTTGGGGCTGGCAACATGGGAGGGGAGTTGTCAAAGTCTAGAGTTTGGGGCATGTCCACTGTGGAACTCAGTTTCCACAAGGTTCCACAAGCTCCAAGAAACTCAGTGTTTTTATTACCTTCTTGGGTACTACTGAATGAAGGCTCTTCACGGGAAAGAGCAGGGCTATAGGTGGTGCCTGGCCTTTGTAGAGCTACACTGAGTGCCCCGGAACCACAGAGCAAATAGGAAGCACACTCAATTAGCCAACCTCACCCAGAGCTGAGAATTGTTCTGAGAACAGCCTGCAAACAAGCCATGACCATGAGTCACCAGAGGAGCCGAGCCTGGAGCAGAGGGTAAGGTCAGGTGCATAAATAACCACAATCGGGGAATCCCAGAACCCTCAGGGTGAAACAATCTCTGGGTCCACATAGATGAGGGCAACATCTATACTTGGGTAGATATGTAAGGAGAAACTAGCTACTTTGAGGGGTGCAGGTTTCACCTAAAGTATATTGGAGCTTATTTGATTACTGTTGCATAAGTGAATACTAATTGTTTTCACAGGGATGGTGAAGAAATTTGGGCAAAATAAATCTGTATTTTGCTGTGTATCATGCACCCACGTTTTTGGCCCAAACTTTCAGGGGAAAAAATCTTTCATTTTAGTTCAAATTTGTATTTGTTTACATTTAGGTACTTGTTTCTTGTATTATAAAGTAATTTTAGCATTTATTTTTTAACATATTATGGTACAAGAAATTTTATGTAACAAATAATTACAAAATACAAGAACAGATACAAGGTACATGAAATTTTATATGCCTGTAACAAATTTACAATATTTATGCATCATAGAAGGCCAAAAACTAGTAGTTGCAGGTTTGTCGTAAGTTCAACAAAACGAATTATCATGTCCCAGGGTATTATTTTGCATACGGATATCGTTATTGATTTCTAGAGTTACACTTTTAACTCATAAGCATAAATAAAAGAATTAAAAACATTTATATAAATATGGAATTAGTACTACCCAAGTATAATGTGCATCCTTATTTTTCCCTCACAAATTTGGGTAAAACAATGTGCATTATACACAGAAAAATACGGTACTTTGCACGTGTGCAGGCTACCTAGAGTCAAAGTTAGAGAAGGAAAATATGGTCAGAACCTTAAGTGAGGAGGGAGCTTTTAAGTCTCTGAATTTCCTTTAGGTTGGAAATACAAAATAGGGCTAGCTTAAGTTCATTTTAGAGATACTGTATTTTCTTGCTATATCTTTAGCAAAGATGGATGCAGTTCTCCCTAAGATGTCTGCATTTATGTATTTGTAATTATTAGGTATATATTTTTATTGTCTGAAAAGCCCATGCCTTTACCTATTGTATGAAAAGGCAGCTCAATAACCAGAATAGGGACAGCTGAACTTTTTGACAGTGATTTTCAAAACTTGGCTATAGTCAAGGAACTGTTCTCCTTAAAATTAATGTTTCCAGTTGAGGTAGATGTAATGAGGTGAAATCTTACTGGCATGGTTATGTTACCTAATTTATTTCAGTTGCCAGATGCCAGCTTTGCTTCAAAGAATCAACAGACCTTCCCAACTCCAGTATCTTGAGACAAGCCTTTTACCATTTACGTTTTCATAGCTTCAACAAACAAACAAGGGAGGAAGGGGCTCCGCAGAATGCCAGCAACACTTAAACCAGCTAGCTAATGAATCCAACTCAGTTGAAATAGCTCCTTTAGAACTAGATGTTTATACTATAAAGTACCTGATACAATTAGACACCCTGAGTTTTTGCCAGCTGCTGAGAACTGGACACCCACAGCAGTGCCCAAAGAACTGGGAATGGACTTGTGTATCTATTTTAAATAGGCAGTACCAGTGGGCACAGCCACATAAATTGTTTTCTGAGGAATGGATTAATTATAAGTCATACATTATTGAACAGAATTTAAAAAAAAATGAATGTTAAAAGGTATATTATTGGATAGAAATTAGGTAAAAAAAATTTTTTTAAAAATGAGGCTAGATTTTCTAAAAGGAGTTCACAGGAAAACTATCCGAATTCCTTCTACATCACAATCTTTAGGGATGCACCCCAAGTCTAAGGCAGGCTGACATGGAAAAAATGGGGAAATTCTCAGGTCTGATTAGTGTAAATGAAAGTCACAGAATTTAGAAAGGTACAAGTCCTGTTGAAAGAAGAGACTGCTTTGCAGGGTAAGGACTGACCTACAACCTGTAGTATTCAGGCAGATTATTGTGTTTACTTGTAAATACAGATTATTTAGTCTCAGTTGCCCTGCTAAATAATTTGAGGCTAGCAGAGCTCTCATGTGTGTAAATTGTTTTGAGTGCATTAAACAAACTTAGTCCCTAGATAGTCTGGGCAGAAAACACATAGCCTGGCCCAGGGTGAGTGCAGCCTGTGGTCAGAATGCTAGCAAGTTGTCCCAAGACTCAAACTAAGGACAACATTTGCCTTTGAATGAGAGCTATAGTCGCAAGGGGAGGAACTGTCCCTGAAATCCTAAAAAGTCACAAACAAGGAAACCCTTGCCTTGTTTAAAATTTGAAAGGTGGTCTAGTTGGATAGTTAAATTCTTCTAAACAGAAGGTACTGGGGCAATAATGTTTTATTTTGCTTAAAAGGATGAACTTTTAGGTGCTTGAGTACAAGAAATGCTTGCCTAAAGCTCTATTCCATATATAATAAATAATCCTCTTGATTATTTCTTATCTTTTCTATTAGCTTTATCTTCAAGCCAGAATGAAGGCAGACTGGGCAAGACTCTTACGCCCCACGCTGCAATTTGGTCTTGTTGCTGTATCCATTTACGTGGGCCTTTCTCGAGTGTCTGATTACAAACACCACTGGAGTGATGTGTTGACTGGACTCATTCAAGGAGCTCTGGTTGCAATATTAGTTGTAAGTATACAAGGCAGCAGCCTGCATCTTGATACTGATAAACACTTGGATAAGTAAGTAGTAGAAAAAAAATGTCCCAGTGAGAAAACCGCAAAGGCAGAGAATGTGGCCCAATGATTGGTACAAGGTAAGAGCTCCAATGTTGTTAAAAGTCATCTTAGGCCAGACAGCAGATAAAAACTAGGTTACCCTTCACAAAAGTTATGAAGGCTCTGACTATAAACAGTTTTCCTTTTGGTAATGAAATGAAAAAACGAATTTACATGAAGAATAACTCTTAAGTTCTGGCAGAGTAAAGCTATTTGCCCAAGACATAACAAAGCAGCTCTCAATTTGGAAGAATCCCTTTAATAAAAAATTCAGATTAGCTACTAATTTTTTATACCCTTAATCTGTACCTGGAATCCCATGCTTATTGCAACTTTATATTATATTGTAAAATACATTGTCCCAAGCTAAGGTATGACCTGTTCTATGCAGGTTGTGTATGTATCAGATTTCTTCAAGGAGAGAAACTCGCCTTTTAAAGAAAGAAAAGAGGAGGATTCTCATACAACTCTACACGAAACACCGACGACGACGACGACAACAACAACGGGGAATCACTATCGGAACAATCACCAACCTTGAAGGTGACAGAACGCCCAGATGAACCTGGCCTGCTTTTTAAAGGAAAATGATTGCAACCTGAAGGCAAGAGGATGTGTCTCTTGCTGGTGTACAAGCCTTTAAGGACTGCTGCTGCTATACCTTGGATGCCCACTTTACCTGTGTGTATATAGTTACATTTAACACAACACTTATCTAATAGCTCTGAGTTCATGAAAAAAATTTCAAGCCTTTCACTAAAACAATGCCCACTTGTACATTTTTTATTAAAAAATGTAATGCTTATGTACAAATGTGTATGTAATATGCTTTCTTAGAATGATGCTTGATAAGCATTTTAGTACATACTACATTTAAGAGGAAAACTGTTGTGAGATGGGAGAACCAAGTCAATACTTGTAAGCATTTGTAGTCAACTGCAGACAGGTGGTGAACACTTTAAAAATCCTACATTCCTTTAGATGACTATAAGTAAAGGCTGGCAGCAAACACAATATCTCTCTTGATTTTGGTGATTCCTAAGAGAGAAGAAAATATGGTTTAACTTTTAAGACCAACAAGAACATAATTCCCCTCTACTGGGGTTATAAAGACAGCACAATAATTCCAATTGGTGACAGCAGCCTGGAAAATACCAAATCTTGCTGGTCTGAAAGATACCTAGAAGACTTTACAGCCATGTAAGAGGCAGAAACTTAGAAACAAGACCCCTGTTCTTAGACGTCTGTGTGTGTGTGTTTAAACTATCCAGAAAACAAAACACAAAAACTTAATGGGTAAGGAGACTAAGCTGTCAAAAGAAATTGGTTGACCCCAAAGCATGAATTTTCAACCCGATGACACTACATTTTCAGTTATCACGTAAAATTTCTTCTGGACTAAGGATAACCATAAATTTTTATTTAAAAAGTTTACATAAGTATACTTAAATCATTACGTGAACACTTAAATAGGCCTGCCTCTATCAATAATAGAAACGTAAGCCAGTTTTTGTGAACTTCTTCTCAGGACACTAAGTTGACAGCAGAAATCACTAGGGTTGACCGTAAGCAACCAACCCAGAGCAGGAACATGGCTGCTGCTAATGTCTGATGCTAACAGTCCTTTACGCAGGCCAGTATTCAGATGGTGTAAAACTATTCACAAGCATGTTTTAATGCCGCCTCCCATGACTAGCACCTTGGTCTAGCTGTCCTGTCTTGATCTGGTCTTCCTGTTTCCACCTTGCTACGTACGCTACAGACTTGCCTATGATGCAACAGCAAGAACTGCCTTATAAAACCCAGTCTCAGAGCACACCACTCCTATGATCCAAACCTCCATTTCAGAGGAAAAAGCCAAGGGCTGGGTCCTCCATGATTATTCTTGGCTCTCCAACCCCTACTATCCTGCTCCTTGTTTACTCTGCCCTAGCTCACTGGCCGACTGCTGTTAATTAAAGTCTGTCAAGCCTGAATGAAGAGCCCACATGCCACCCTCCCAGAGGGCTTAGACCGTCCCATCCACGCCCCCATTCCCTACCGTCTGTATTTCCCTGTGGATCTAGCACTACCTGATGTATTGTGATTGCTGACATGTTTCTTCTCTATCTCCCTGTACTAGAATGGAAGTGCCATGAAAGCAGGGGTTTGTGTCTTTTTGTTCACTGCTATATCCCTTAGTGCTTAAAACAATGCCTGGCACAGAGTACACACAAATATTTATAAATAAATATATATAAAATCTCAACACTTTTCCCCACCCTAAAATGTTATTTAAACACTACTAGATGGCCCTCCATGGCAATCCAAACATCTGAAAATCTCCTCCTAGGTTGTGGTCAAGAGCTCAAGTCGCATAAGGTTTGCTGGAGTTATTAGAGGAAAACTTATGGAATGGATACTGACCTTCTGCAAATTTATTTTCCAGTTCAGTGTTTCCAATGGCTTTTGCTGCTTGACACATTTGTCTAAGCAGTTCTTCCAGGCGCCTCATACAACGAATTATGCTGCCTGGACAGAAAAGTAAAGAAGAAATCACTTGTAAAATGGCAATAATCAGGAACAGCAGGACTTCTGTTAGGAGGCAAGGCAGGAGAACACGGGATGATTAACTAATAGTACTTTCAGGGACTTCCCATGTAGCAAATCAGCTAGCAAACTTGATTGGCTGCAGGCACTAGGAAGGGTACAAAGATGAAAAGTTTCATTCCCATCCTTGACTAATGGCAGATGGAGTCATTGCTTTATTACAAGGTGTTCACACTTGCTCTGACAGAGCTAAGTAAACAAAATGCCCTGGGAGCAGCGGAGAGCAAGTCTGGGTGAAGGCCGGCAATATAACCCGGTCTAAGAATGAGGAGGCCTCTGTCAGGCAGTGACACGGGCAGATCACCGAGGCAGTGCAGAAAAGCTTGTCAACTGCAGCTATTCCAGGACCCTGAGGAGTCTGGCCTACTGAGGCACTTGGATGTCCAACATCCTGTGAAGAGAATGCAACAGGAGATTCCTAAGCAGGGGAGTAACAAGATCAGATCTGTCATCTGAAAGGTGCAATTATTCATTCTTCTTGACTTTAAATAGACTCTTTCATCGGTGCTTCCTTCACACAGTGTGTCCTCAAGGAAGCACAAAAGAGGCGATAAGCCTCTTCCCACTGGACCTGACTCCTCTTCTGAGACAAGTGTTTGTATCAAAGCTGAAGCTGTGAACAGTTTCTCTTCTGTTAGACTTGAGCGAGGAGGGGCCTCGGATCCTTTTTCTAAGTGCTACCTGCCTAAGTTTAAAACTATTAGGACTTTATTTTTAAAGTCTGAAAAACATTAGGAATATCAGGTACTCTGATAAAGCAAGCTGTGAACTCACACTTATTAACTAGGTCCTTATTAAGTCCTTGCAACACTGGAATAATACATTAACACTTATCAAGTTCTTCTAATACCCTCATTGCACAGTGTTGAGAGTTCCTTTTCACCTTTTAATGCCCTCCACATTATGTTCCAATGTGCTCAAGGAGGAAAATCAGCAGATAGATATAACTCATAAAGCAGAACGGAATTTGAGTTGACACAAGCTTAGACAAAGGCCAACAGAAGCCATTTACCTAAGAGCCAGCCCAATCCAGCAGGAAGTGCCCACACACATGCAAAGTACCTTCTCTCCCTATAGGACCATCCTAGGAGCCTGAGAACCTGGACCAGTAAGGATGACTTGCTTGGTTTCTGAACCCGCCTATGGGCCAGAGCAATGAGAACGCAAAGATGCTAATTCGGGTAGTGGAAGGTTTATGGGATGAGATTGGTCATAAAGAAGTCCAGCACTAGGTCACCTTAAAAGACAAATGGGAAAACACCCTTCTTAGAAGGACAATACCATATCCCACATATAGGATGTTCACATACTTTAGACTTGGTTCAAAGGAGTTAGCTGAGGCACCTGGAGTTAGAGAAAAGAAGACTAGATGGAGATCTGTGTTCCAGTCCAGATTCTGTTGCTAAGCAATTAGCTCTGCAGTTGGGCCCTTACTTACTCCTCTCTCGTTTCCCTTTCTCATTTACAAGATATATAATAGTAAATACAATTTAAACAGAGGGCTTGCTCTACCTAACCATGGAGTTGTCTCACTTGAGATAAAAGATGCACAAATTCTTTGACAAAGGTCTAAAGAACTAGATGGTCATAAAATAAACCTTCAGCCAAAACAGTCAAAGTCCATAGCTTTTTTTAATCCTTCTTCCTCTCCTTCCATTAAAAGGTCCATGGAGTTCTTGGGGAAAACCTCCAGCCCTCGATAACAGCCTATTTTCACTACACATTCTATCAAAGTTACTGAGCTCCTTGCAGAGTTTATTAGATGACAGTCAACAGCAAATGGCAGCCAGAACAGAGACACAGATTACATAAAATCCAACCAATCAAACACCAGGGTCAAGAGTAATACCTCATTCCCACCTATATACACGTCTTACAATAACTCTGAGGGCTTTCTTGGGTTATAAAACTGATATGTATAATGACATTGAGGCATCAAGACAAAATTAGTATGAATACATTTTGAGAAAAAAAGGGTAATGTCTACCATTTTCTGAGCACTTATTTTGTGGCAGTTCTGTAATCTATATTTTATGTAAATTCTCTCCTGGCCTTTTCTAGTCTCTAAGACAAATACTGTTGTTATCTTTATTTTACTAAGAGGGAAAAGGAGCAGCTCAGAGAAGTTACATACATAACTTGACCAAGGTTAGAGACAGGAGTAAAGGATGGAGTCAGGATTTGAATCCAGACGGTAAAATTCTACAGCCCCAGCATTTAACTATTGGGCTGTCGGGAAAGTCATGATGCACTTTTGCAACGAAAAACAGAAAAAATACGTCATGAGTTTTCTGACAACCCAGTACATTATAGTGCCTCACGGAAATGTGTATTATTTTACAAAGTTCAATGTATATTAAATTTATTTTATATATTTTAAATAGTTAAGTAAAAAGTAATAATTTTATAAGTTTTTTAGACCCTACTCTAAGTTCTCTTCACTGTTATAGAAATCTTCATTGCCAAGTAATGCAAAGATTTACATCAATGGGTTTCAAGATGTACAAGTAGTAAAAATTGGTAAGAAGGGTCCAGTCAGATAAGGAGTCCGCTTTCTGAATTTGGCAATCAGGTAGTCACTGTGACTTGTGTTAATTTCACTGAAACAGGCAACCAGAGTACTGTGGATCGAGAAGGAAATGGGAGGTAGGGGACTGAACAAAGATGGTCTATTCCATCTCGACTACTCTTTCTGAGCCTGACTATAAAAGGAATGAGGGATTAAAGGTGACGACAAAAGAACTTACTAAAAAATGACTGCAACAGCTAACATTTATTGAATGCTATGTGCCAGGCACTGTGCCAACAGCTCTATATGCATCATGCTATCCTTACAATATGAGGTAGAAGCTATTATCCTCCCCATTTTATAGCCAAAGAAACCAAGGCACCATTAGGTAACCTTCCCAGGATCATTAATCGACTGAGTGGGTAGGATTTAAGCCCAGGGTCTGTGCTCTTACTCTCAAGCACTATGTTATATTGGTAGCTGGAGAAGGTGTGGGTGAAAAATATAAGCATATTTATATACTAAAATGGCAGCAGAAACGTGATTCAAGATTGAGGAGAGTGCAGAAAACTGGAGGAAGGCCCTGGCATTGAGAGCAATGGGAAAAGGCCCTGGAATTTCAGAGCTTCCTCTGAAAAGGAAAGAAGAAGGGGAAGGATTTATGCACATTGAGTTTCTAGGTAAGAAGGCAGGCCTAATGGCCTCTCCCTTTCTTTGAAGCAGGAGTGATCACCTT